GCCCCGGCCCCCGCCCCCCGCCCCCCGCCCCCCTCCCCCGCCCGGGCCCCCCCTTCGCTCCCCCCCATTCCAGCGCCATCCCAGGCGGCCGCGGGAACTCGGGAGTCCGGCGGGATCCCCCCGCCCCCGTGCCCAGGACACCCCCCCGAGGGGAGCCCGAGCCCGCCGAGGGGACCCCGGAGCCCGGGACACCCCTGGGGGGGGACCCCAGCACCCGCCAGGGGGGCTCCGGCCTCTGGGACACCCCCCCGAGGGGACCCCGCGCCCGGCGGGGGGACCCCGGAGCCCGGGGAGCCCCAAAAGGGGACCCTCGGCCTCTGGGCCGGGCGTCGCTCTCGGGGGGAGCCTCTTGAGAGGGCACAGACAGCCGGGACCCCCCCCAGGAGGGGACCCCCGGCCTCCGGGACCCTCCCGAGGCTCCCAGGCCGCTGCGAGCCCCCACGAGGGCCCCCAGTGTCCGGGACCCCCCCCCAAAAGGGGTCCCCAGCGGCCGGGCCGGAGCTCTCGCCCTCGGCGGGGTCGGGGCCGGGGGTCCCGGGGTTGGGGGGCACCATGTGGCGCTGGGGGGGGCTCTGGGCGGCGCTGGCGGCGCTGGCGGCGCTGGGGGGACACGGGGGGGGCGCGGCCGTGGCCCGGGAGCGATTCAAGGTGGTCTTCGCCCCCCTGATCTGCCGGAGGACGTGTCTGAAGGGGCTGTGCCGGGACTCGTGTCAGCCCGGATCCAACATGACCCTGATCGGAGAGAACGGACACGCGGCCGATACCCTGACGGGATCCGGCTTCCGAGTGGGTGAGTGACACCGGGACACCGGGATGGGGACACGGGGACACCGGGACACCGGGATGGGGACACCGGGACACCCTGACGGGATCCGGCTTCCGAGTGGGTGAGTGACACCGGGACACCGGGACACCGGGATAGGGACACGGGGACACCGGGACACCCTGACGGGATCCGGCTTCCGAGTGGGTGAGTGACACCGGGACACCGGGATGGGGACACGGGGACACCGGGACACCCTGACCGGCTCCGTCTTCTGAGTGGGTGAATGACACCGGGACATGGGGACAGGGACGGGGACATGGGGACAGGGATGGGGACATGGGACACCCTGACCGGCTCCAGCTTCCGAGTGGGTGAGTGACATGGGGACACCGGGACAGGGGTGGGGACACCGGGGACAGGGATGGCTCAGGTGTGGGGACACTGATGAGGATGGGACAGGGATGGGGGCAGGGATGGGGACACAGGACAGGATGGGGACAGGATGGGGACACCGGGACAGGGATGAGGACACGGGGACAGGGATGGGGACAGGGATGAGGACACGGGGACAGGGATGGGGACAGGGATGAGGACACCGGGACAGGGATGGGGACAGGGCCAAACTGGGGACAGGGCCAGGATGGGACGAGATGGAAACGGGGACACCGGGGAGGGACGGGGTGGCACCGGGACCGCGCTGGGACAAAGGGGACAGAGGGATCCGGGGGGGTTCTCGGGGGAATTTGGGGGCGCTCCGGGGGTCTCAGGGGGTCTCTCTCCCCACAGTGGTGTGTCCCCTGCCCTGCATGAACGGGGGGCAGTGCAGCTCCCGTTCCCACTGCCTGTGCCCCCCCAACTTCACCGGCCGCTTCTGCCAGGTCCCCGCGGGCGGGGGGCGAGCAGGGGGACCCCCCCCTCCGCCTCCCCCCGCTCCCCCCGAAGCCCCCC